AAAGCCAGAGTTATTACAGTCATGGCACACTTGCGTAAACTACATATATTGGTAGGTAGAACGCTTTTGTGAACTACAGCACTTATACTCAGACAAGGCTTCAAAGAACCACAAGAGGTCTCATCATGAAGCAAGGATAAGCGAGTTAAAGCTAGATTTAAAAGTTCAGATTTTAGAGTGCTGTATAATTACTGCATTTTCGCTCACGCTGGTATAGTATAGGTGTTACTATGTATGTTGGTTGGTATTCAAATTCAAAACGACTGGTTCGAATTCAAAAACGGAATGGCTTTGGGCTTCATAGTATCACCAATATGAGCGAGTAAAATTATTAATTTTTGAGGACTACCGATGCGCGTGCGCTGTGAAAACGCTTCGAAAACAATGAAAAAAAAATGTCCGCGACAGCCTATGTCTATCTTTTAAGATTTACACGCAAGAACCGTTTTTATGTTAATCAAATTTTGTCAAAAATAGATTATTACCACTTATTTGTTAGAGTTGTATCAATATAATAATAGTAATCTTGCAAACAACAAAACAACGCTTGCCGGGTCAGCTTATAAACATAAAGTACAATAACCACCATTCATTACTTTTGTAATAAACATATAAAGGACCACATTTAATTTGTTTCATTGATAAATTTTATTTACAGTAGTTTTTTCTTGGGATTCAAACACATGACCTCTCTTTAAACGCGTTAACCATCGAGCCACAAAGGCGGTGTTTAATTTAGTTACAAGTCTATATTTAATATTCACTGTGTTATATGTTCCGATAATAGATGTGTGTTATTATTTTTAGTTGACAAAGGTCAAATAATTAATCTCGTTAAGAGAAATGCAGCATGGCATTTGAAAGGAAACCTTTTTAATCTAAACTTCATTAACGCAAAATGAGCTGTAATTTTATCATTTTCATTTCCAAGTGGCTAATTAGTGTGAGGGAAAATGCATTGGGTAGGTAATTAGCAAAAGTTAAACTATATAAATAAAATAATATATATACATTTTTAACTGTTTTGGAGATGCTGAATTCATTTAGTTTTTTCCGAAAACTTTAACATTGAAATTCCTTGTCGAATTTCGAACCCAGCACCCCGCCGTTTACGCAATACAAGGAAACTCGTTTATCTATTGACGGGCTTGTTGGTCTAATGGCAAGCAATGTATTATTTACTAATAATCAATAGCAAAAAGTGAATATTAATCCATTATTTGCATTTTGAGAAAGAAACGAGTACACATTGTTATAGTTTGAGTACACATTTAAATAAAAAAAATTAACGGTTTAAAACGTATATAAGTTTACCGGATATATTTCCCGTTTTAAACAGTTTAGAGTGTTTTATTTAAAAAGCTTTTCTACTGCTTTTGTTAGAAGTTAAAGTTAAATATTATCTGTATGTATTATCTGTATTATAATAATGAATTCGTGATTCTTCCAAAGTAAAATACATTGCTTCCATACTGCAACTAGCTGCATCGTAATACTCTCAAACCGGTTGAAAGTGTTGTCCGATTCTCCTTGACCGACATGCCGGGCGGTTGAAGCAGGAAGAAAGGTGGATGGTCTCCAATATTTTATTTTGATAACGGTTGTTGCGTTACTTGCATGTGAAATGAGGCACTTGTTCGAATTTAGTGAACGAATATTAATTCGTCGAATGTTTTGTAGCACAGTGGTTAGAGTGTATATTTAATTAGGAGTTAAGTTGTGACAAAACCTGAAACATCTCTAAAGAGACTTAATGAAGCTTTTAATCTTCAATTGTTTGTTTCACTACATATTCTTTATTATTTCGATATATTTCTTTCAGAATGTATACATAATTTTCGAAATTAGTGATTAGCAAATATTGTGAAACTCATAAAATCATCCATAAATGTCTCAAAAAACGTGTGATATCAACGGTCGAAGTAGTATTGCGACAATATTAAATTGCTTAATAACGCTACAAAATATAGTCTCGGAGTATTTTTTATCTACGTGAAAAATTATGAAATAAATAAAAATTTTATTAAACCAGACTGCGCTGTTGTGGACAAAACGTTTATGACCCACATCTGCGCTGAGCACTACAATTTTTAATTTGAGAACTGTTGCTAATAAAACAAACCTACTTGAATAACACCTTAAATGATTAAAACGCGAAATATACTAGTATTATTTATAACATCACGGACGCTTTGGATACCTGTTTATTATTCCTGTTAAATCACAGACAACATCAGGAACAAAACATATACCTCATTGTCTGTTTTATCACGATGTGAAGTATATGGTATTTGATTATTTCTATCTAGAAGCACATTTAGTGGTAGACAATATTTCACTCAAAATCGCTAAGAATGATGCACAAGAAGTTAACTATATAATTTAAAAATCAAATATAAATTGAAAAATTTTTCGACTCGAACTGGACTTGAACCGACATCGTCAGCGTTCCGTGCTGTTGCTCTGTGAGTCTTGCCCGAGTCGATTATTTTTAAAATTTATTTTCGATTATTAAATTATATATGTTATTGAAGGCCCTATTGTTTATGTATATGCAATAACATGTGAAAAATATTAAAGTTTTCAAATATATCGGATAAGCTAAATCAAACTGTATTTTGAAAAACTAAGCTAAAAGCAATTTTTTTACAGTAAAAAGAATTAGAATCGACGAAGTAAAAATTAATATTTGGTATCGTAATCTTATAAAAATTACAATACATATAGTTCCTTTTTTGTTTTTTTGAAACCATCTAAATTAGTAAAAATGTCCTTTAAAAGTACACGATAAGTCCTATAAATATCTTATGCATACCGAAAAGCATTTGCTTCTGTATAACATCGTTGCCAATGGTTCTATGTATTTAAAATGCAAAACCTTACTCAGAACAGCGCAGTGGAATCTACTTACATCACCGAGGCAACACGGTGAAGAATGCAGATTAGAGGAGGAATTTGTTTTATTTGTTTCTAAAATTTTAAATAAGTCTGCTCTTTGAAAAATTTGAAGCTTAAGCAAAGTAGTACACATTTAAATAAAACACTTTAACGGTTTAAAACGCGATATATTAGTTAAACTTATTTGAAATGATTTTTAACTTCGACCCGACGTTTCGGATGCATTGCAGCAGCCGTGGTCATGGGGAGACCAGGGGAACCGTTGAAGTGTTTTATTTAAAAGATATACAATATACCTTCTTCTATGTAAAGGTATCTTCATTAGTTTCATTTTTTTTAATTTTTTACTCTATAAGAAAAAAACAGTCTTTTTATACAAGTAGATTTTCCTAGGTTATATGGCTCTATTACAGTATTGTTAATTCAAATAATATATAGTGATAATTATTACTCTATTGTTTTATGCATTCGTACCACAGTTGGTCACGTTGCGAGGGCTGTTTTACTTACATCATTTCTTATTCGGTGTAGGTATATTACTATTAGACATACGTAACGTTTTGGTTTAGTCCTAGTATTGAAGGTTATTCATTCATGGGCAAAAAAAACATTACTATTTCAAATTCTTATTAGAAAAACTTTTAACGATAAAGTATTTAAAGACTATATGGGAGAACTTCAAGTCTTTTATAGATATCATTTGATATAGTTTTTAGTATTAAAAGTAAGTTATTGGTACAGTGGAAGCAATAAAACGGTCAAATGGGCCTTGGTTCGATACTTGCATTAACTCAACGACTAACGAATATAGATAATAAATAGTTAGTAAGAATATTTCGTTGGGGAGAAACACGATCCGCCGTGCACAAATAGAAAAACCGCCAAGTGAAAATTGGCCATTCTAGTTAACTTTATGGATTTCATCAGTGCATATGGTTTATAATATGATGTGATACAATTTTCACGAAACAAACCTTTCAATTGTCAGAGGAATTACTTTCTCGCATGTTCAATATAAGTATCAATAAATATTGTATTATGATGATATTAAGTAGTATGGACTTTATCGCCCTTCACACAGTTTTTTAAACATATAGCAAATCAAACAAGTGAAACCTTACAAATCTACTAGCTGCGCTAGATAGTATAGGAATGTGACGACAGTATTATAAGAGTAGGGGCATAATATAAACAAATGGATTGATGAATACTAAATAGCTATACAGAGAGTAATAGAGAGATAAACTGAATTCTCTGTTGATTTACGCGTAGGTATTTTGTAAAGTTAAATAATGAGATTCTAAGTCTAAACCATTTTTCGGATGCTAATTTGATGTCTATTAAAATTTTACTAAAATATCGCGATTTATACCGTTAAAGTGTTTTATTTAAATGTGTACTATTCGCGTAAACTATAGACAGTATTTAACTATTAAAATTAACTTATATTTTTTGTTTTAGAATCAGAATTGAGTTTTCTTTAAATCTCGTTAAAAATATGAATTTGATTTTAAAAATTTAAAGTGTTCAGACACAATGCTGTATAATTTAAGTTATAATTCACTTTAAATTAGACTGCATAATTATTATGGTTTTGGTCAACGTTTGAGTACGCGCCATGCCAACAAACTTTTTGGCCGTTGATTCTAAACCTGTTTCTACGACCGTTTAAGGATGCCTGATTCGTACATATTGAATTTGGGGATCCATTACATATAAACTTCTTTAAATAAATTAACATCTACCTACTTTCCGTCGTATTTATAAAATGCGAATACTTTTGAGGCAAATTGATAAATAACAGAGGTTAAGAGTAAAATTATGTATACGAACAATACTGTGCTATTGTACTTAATTGGAACTATTAGGAATTTTGATTAGCACACACATTGGAAGTACACGTGACAATATTAAATAGGTCAGGGCTGAGCCCTTGTACTCTGATCTGGTCCACACAGCATCCCTATTTTCTAGCACAAATCAATACCTCAGCTGTGCGACCGTAAATGAACATTCATAAGGCTACTAAAATTGGTCGGATAAGCTGCATTGGAAAATTTTTTAATATGGAATGTTAGGCTTTAATTTCAAGTCGTACATACCTTTCTTTGAGCCTCAGCGGCAAATCCAGATTTCGCTGCTCTGTTGTTTGCCATTTTGGAACTAAAACTACTTTGTACAATAAATAATTTAAATCACAGTCAACACGGTTGTCGCCGTGAAGTCACAACACACGGGAAGGAGGATATAATTGCTATACAAATGTAAACAGTGCGCGGGTCGACTTGCGACCTGTTCTATGTGTGAGTGTGTGATGAATGACATCATGCAGCGAGCCGCGAGCGCGACCGGCCGATGCACGACGTTAGGGATGTGCTGGATATCGATTATTTCGTTATCATTGATTGTTTAAACAATATTACTGAATAAGAACTGCTACAAGAAAAATTGTTACATATATTCATTTCTTCATATGATATGTTTTTTAACGTGCTTGAGCACATTTTGTTGTATTTTGTATTTTTCAGACGATAATTTCTTTTGGAAGAGTAAAACTTACATTATGTGCCTCATAATTGTTACGTTAACACTCCATCAGGAGACCCAAAGTAGATACCTATTTTTGATTTTCTGTCTGTGCGATAATACTCTTTTTTTGATATTTTTACGTAAATAATAAATAATATAAGAAGTCTTTTTCTACTAAGATTTTTATAATTATGTTTTAAGTGAATATACAGAATTGTGTTTTGCACTGCTTACGAATCTGTATTACCCAAATACTTTATCATATAAAATATATCGATACTCGATATAACAAGAATTTCAAACTGAACAACTCTATAAACCCCGAATGTAAAATGAAAACCAAATATGGAATATAATGTGAGTAAAAGAGAAAGCAGATAAGGCTGTACATCTCGTACCGTTGCTGCTGATTGGTTGTTAGAGAGATTATGGCGACGTAGAGTAAACGCGGGAACTTTCAAATATTTTTTTATATTTTATATTCACGTAATATTATTGTACTCTGTTTAAAATGAAAATTAACAGTGACAGACCTACTAGTGTTCTGTGGTATATTCAAAGAACAGGGCATTCAAATATATTAAACCTTTTTTACTCTTCCTAATCTTCTAGGAATATTTCAAACTGTCATGACAGAAAAAACAAAATTCATATCTTTAAAGCCCATAATTTTTTTTAGATTATTTCAATTTCAGCAAAAAATGGAAGTCCAGCAAACAAATATGTAAATTTATAAAGGTCATGATACGTTAAATTTATAAAAGTTAATAAATCCCAAATTTTTATCTGGCGGTTTGGTTCCACATCACAATGGAAAATCATCCGAGAAGGCGCCGTGGAAGACCAAGGGCCAATGCAAATCAAGTTATTGCTCAACCAGCTTTCGCGCCTAGATCTAACACGTCTTCGTTTTTCGATAATCTGTGCAGCTTCCTTATACTCTCAAGTTTATTGGCTATCATCTATTTGCTGTTGGAGCACCACTGTACTGTTTGTAAAAGCAAATGTGATGTATATAGCATAACAAAAGGACTCAATGATATTAATGTAAGGAATATTCAGTTGCTACTTCCATCATAAGTTTCTTCAATAGTTTATACACACAAATATAGGGTCCTATACCTATTAGTTTTCTAATTTATACTTTGTAATATATTATATGTAACTAGCTGTACCCGCGACTTCGTCCGCGTGGAATAGTGACTTGGGATAGAATTTTTAATTATTTAGGCTGTTTATTAATTTATGTAAGGGCGCATTTAAGGCAGTCAATGTATGTTGTTAGTGGTACTTTGCCGCAACACTCTCACCTTATATCACTCCTACTCTAACTCCCACTCTCTCTCACACTCTCACTCTCACTATCACTCTCATTCTGACTGCCACTCCCACTCCCACTTCCACTTCCACTTCCACTTCCACTTCCACTTCCACTTCCACTTCCACTTCCACTTTCACTTCCACTTCCACTCCCACTCCCACTCCTATTCCCACTTCTATGCCCAAAAAGCCAGAGAAGAAAGTTTCATTGTTCTAGCTTCAAACACCACGAATTTCCATACAAACTTTCATCCCCTTTTTCAACCCCTATCAACCCTTTTTGGCATTGAAAAGTAGCCTATGTCCTTTCTCAGGCTCTAAAATATTTGTGTACCAAATTTCATTTAAACCAGTTCAGTAGTTTTGGGAGTTAAAACGGAACAGAGAGACAGAGTTACTATCACATTTATAATATTAGTATACATTAAGGTATGTTGTGCATTTGAAACCGAAAACCTGTCATAAACTTGTATTTTACAGCACAACCTTACAGACATGAAGAACTCATACACCTATTTAGAGTCAAGGATTTTAAAGTTTTCCGAGGAATTGCCAAAGATCGAAGGACAAGTAGAGATCTTGGAAGCATTAGCAAATACACTGGAGAGAGGCGATATCGGATGGAACCCAAAAAAGCATCTAGCCCTACCAAATGTAGATGTATACCTAAACAGCAAACCAAACCGCTTAAGGAAAAACTATACAAATTCGTTCGAATCCACAAAAAGCGTAAAAGTAAATGTAGATTGACTATCTGTAGCTTCCTTAAGAAAAATGGTGCACGGAACTTTTTAATATGCTTTCAAAAAAATAAGATTATGAAGTAATAAACATTTTTTTATTATGTATCCCCCGATAAAAAAAAAAAAAAAAAAAGGCTTTTTCATACTCTTGTGTGTAAAAAACTGGACCAATTGTTATGTTCTATTTACTATATTATATCTTTGTATCCCGCTTCTCATACATGGAACGTGTCTCTCCCACCCTTGTTCTATGCATAAGACACAGAATTACCAAGTTCATGTCATATACAATCTCGCTCGAGTCGTTTTGCAAGTTAATGAAAACATAGACATATATTGTCGCATACTTTAAGGGGGAATCATCTTTCATACTTCTGTAGTACGTTTATTAGGAAACGCCTGGAAACCCATAATAGATATCTGCCCCTTTTTATATACCCGCTGTTACTTGCTTCTATTGTCAATGGATTTTATAGCCTATAGTCTTCTTGATACTCTACCCAAACAATTGAACCAGTAGTTCCTTAATTACTTTCCAACAAACAAAGAAACTCGTCAGCTTTATATATTAGTATAGATATGAGCTTACGAATAGACTTAATCATCTGTGCAATGTGTGAATGAATCTGTTGTTTCTCCAAAATTCAAACCCAGACCCTTTGTTTAGTTTAAAAACTAAGGTAATATAAATTGAAAAAAATGGGGATACTCATGGAGGTAAAACAAGAGACCTTATGTTTATTTTTTGTTTATTAATATCTTTTTTTAGGGTTTATTGTGATACTAGACATTCCAACTTCTACGGTCGGAGTTTCTGCAAGTACACTCTTCTTTATAAATACGGACCTTCCTTGTCGCGATACCAGCACCTGTAGATTTCAGTGGATATCTCGTGAGCGTTGAAGCATTTTTGGTTAAGCAATATTCATTAAACGCTGTGTTCTCCCGAGTCTGTAAGCCTGTGCATACATTTTTCTTGTTCAACATGGCGACAACGTTTAAGTCGTGTTTCTTCCTCCTGTCCAAATCCTGGTGTTGGTGTTGACAACAACTCTTACAATGCTCTATTTTCACTATCTCTTTTACATCTCTGTGTAAAGTATCATACGCTGAACCGATTTCTACGAGTTTGTTCTGAAAAAAGCAAAACATTTAAACGAAATCGTTTTATTGCGTTTTGTAAATAGTACAGGAACAATAACTTATTGTATATTCCAAATACTTTTTTTGCATACTAGCTGAGTCAGCGACTTTGTACGCGTGGAATAAATATTTTAGGTAACAATTTTTGTTTTTGCAAACCTCCTGTTTTCTTGCAAGTTACTCTTAAAAGATAGATGTATACTGTCGCAAACTTTTTTTAGATGATTTAAGTAAAGACAAATCATTCCTTCCTATATTAGTTGGGTAGTAGTTCCTGAGATTAGCGCGTTCAAACAAACAAACAAACTGACATATATTTCACTATACCAGATATGAAAGTATATAGTCCTTATATAGGTAACCGGGTGCATTGATAGGCACGAGTTTCTTTTGATGGAAGGTGAAAAGCAACTTAATATTTTTCAACGAGTTTTCACATAGGCGTGGTAACACGATTTGAGTCAATTATTATCTAATAGATGATTCAAACCAGTTAAGGTCCCACAAATGGAAAAAATCTCTCGTAGACAAATAGTTTGAGCTGAGACGTACTATGCTGCTCCAAAGTGTTGGCTGTTTGTCGCCTACTGTGTGCCCTCTATTTTATTTTTCTGCGAAACTCGGGATTCGAATCCGAAACCTAGAGATCTATAGGCGAGTGCACTGACCTCTAGTACCTAAAACTGTATGCAATAATACTTTTTACCTTTAATGAGTGAAGACTTGTCCTCATGCTAGTTAGTTCACGCCGTAGAAAATGTCTATCCCATAAATGTGTAGTCAGATGCGATGTTATAAGGATAACGCTAACAAATATTGCAAGTTCGAATAAAAAATTCTTATTTACAGGCATATTTATTTCATGATTCTGGCTAAACTGATCACAGATTTTTTGTATTTACATAAATAGTATATTTTCATTTTTATAATTTAAAAAAATGTGTTAATACTGTCAGTGCCATCTATTTGTCAACTTGTCAAATGCATTATATAGCGGCAAACAGACTATACATACTTTATATAGCACCGTCCTTGTTTTAACAATGTTTTCATCTTTCGCTACTAGATGTCACTATTACCAAAATAATATTTTTTCCTTCCAAAGATTTAAAAAATTGGACTATTTTTCTTCAGTTCTCATATTATACATTTGGTATAGGCTCGTCCGCACCATCTTGTAGAACATAATGAAGATTACATAGTTCTTCAGCAGCTGTAAAACACGCTTTTTCGGCTTGTGTAATTTCATCCTAAGAAACACATAACATTTAATAATTTAAACCTAATACGATATATATATATAGAGATATGCTACACTTTGGTACACATTATTAATATAACACAAGTTATGGTTATTAGAGGTATACTGCTAGAAGTTATATGGCGTAGCTATAAAAAAAGATGTATATCTAAAAATCCGTCCAATTTAATCAAATGTTTATATATTTTCATTTATTTTCACATGCAACCAAGTCGAACTAGAAAACTTTTAAAACGTTCAAATAAATAATACAAATTGAAAAGTTTTATCTGTGTATTTAAGAAAATAGCTCAACTGTACGTTAATTGCTTATAGTATCGATCAAACATGTGAAAGTTGTGTTTGTTGTGAAAAAATGAATTCATATTATAAACAATGTTCTATTAAGTTGTAACTTTCCTCGAATATATATTTATTCATTAATATCTGATATTCCTAATGTTAATTGAAAATACGTACCGTGATCTTATCCAAAACTTTCTTCATTTCCTTTAATTCGGTGCTTTTGTCGATCCGCTCCGAGAAATCCGGAAGAAGGAAGGTGAAGAATATTATCAGTGTTGTCGTTAACACGATAAAGGAATTCGACGATAGAAAAGAGAGGGCTGTGGTAATGTGTTTTGATATTAAGGTATTCCATTGATCTAAGTTTACACTTGCTCGTCTAGTCGGAGAAATTTGACGATGCGAACATTGTTCTGTATGGAAAATAGAGAAGTAAAAATATGTTAATTATATAATATAATTATTTTATTTGTTTGTTTGTTTGAACGCGCCAATCTCAGGAACAGGGTTCGAATTGAAAAATTCATTTTGTGTAATTTAGGCATTTATCGAGGAAGGCTATAGGATATAATATCGCGCTGTAACTAATAGAAGCGAAGATACAGTGAGAAATGTGAACAAAACGGGGGACAACTTTAATCTCTGTGGGTTTCAGATGCGTACGCTGCGAAAATGGTTCAAGACACCCAAAAAATATTTATGAAAGAATGATTCCTCTTTAAATGATTTGAAAAAATATCCGCAACACTATATGTCTATCTTTTAAGATTAACTTGCAAGAACGACGAGTGCCGAGCGACGGAACGCGACGGATGTCGTGGACAGCTTATACTTATAAAGATGTAGAGGTTTGCAAAAACAAATTTGGAAAACAACTATTCTACGCGGACGAAGTCGCTGACACAGCCAGTATAGCCTTCCTCGATAAATGCTTTAACACAAAAATAATTTTTCAATTCCACCCCGTAGTTCCTGAGATTAGCGCGTTCAAACAAACAAACAAACTCTTCAGCAGTTATATATATATATAGATATACTATAGTGTGTATATTTCTATCCACATATAATTTTCATTATACGAGTGTTTGCTAGGCAAATTAGCGAAATGCGTATTATTATTAATAATGTGTAATATCAATTGAGCCGCTACAGCTGTTCTAAGTAATTAGGTATTGAGTTACTCGGGATTTGCTAATAGCTTTTAGAGCTCAACTAATAGGATGCTAATACTCCAACAAAAGACTAATTTCAATAAAGCTTATACTATAACAAAATGATAGAAACCGTTTCTCTGTACATCTAGTAAAATTCACAAAAAGAGCGTAACGGATATAGAACAGTGAATTTTATTAATATTTCTGTATCTACGTTGTACACATATGCACAATTAATTCTCAAAGTTCAAATACATGTCTGTCAATCATCACTTATCTGTATGTATTATTAATAATAAATAATAAATAAAATATACATAGTGGATAAGGCTTATGTTAGCTAATGTATGTGTTCATTTACATAATACTTTATGGTCTATAATACGTAGACGAAGTCGCAGACTTATCTATAGACAATAAAACATATCATTAATATGTAGCAAGTGATTTTTGTTACGCAAAGCTTATATAATATGAAAACCCTTTTTAGACCCTTTTAGGAATCTTACCACAGGCATGTCGCTTCGCCATTGGGCGGATAACTTTTTTTACATTGTCACAAGGGAATTTGTAAACTCGCTTAGCTCCGAACACAATAATAATGACTGACGGTAACATTTGAGTTATTATATGTCATTATTCTTAGTAATTTGTACATAATTGACAGGTGAAGTTATGCAGAGAAATCACAGAATAAGGTATATCTCTCTTAACAATTTACTAATCTAATTAAGAAAACTATACAATAATAATTACTGTTGCCAGATATAATCCAACAAGTTTCAGAAAAAATATAAATTAATTAGAAACATATTAGACCTCAAACATTGCTACTTTACTCTTTTATAAGATTATTAAAATTCGAATTTGCACAGAAAATAAATATACCATCTGTATATTTTATCTGTATTCCATATAGATAATAATATATAACCTTGTACAATACCTTGAAATTGTAATGGAGTTGGGTACACGTCGGATAATATAATATCTAGGTTCTCTAAACGGCTATTGGACTAAATTGCCCTGCTATTACGACAGCTGAAAAGGAATTCACTTGTGTGCCAGTCTGTTCACACTACTAACTTAGATGCATATTTCAGTGCTAGAAAATGTACCTATATTTACTGTCCTATTTTCACATAGTATTGTTTATTCTCATATTACAAAAGACCAAGACTTTACACTATATTTTACAATTTATACGTTATTTTAAATATACTGTTAAGATAAATACAATACATATAACAGTTTGAAACGCAGAATATATTATCTAAACTACGGTTGCTGCAAAGCATCTGAAACGTCGGGTCGTAGTTTTTTAAATGTTTACTAGTCACGTAAACTACAGAAAATATACTGTTTACTATAAACAACGTGTGGAGTTGCCATTTATTAAAAAAACTGGAATAACTTTTGTCGGTAGCTACTAAAAGTAACGTTAAAGATACTGGCTATAGTTTACGCGAGTAGTACACATTTAAATAAAACACTTTAACGGTTTAAAACGCGATATATTAGTTAAACTTATTTGATTGTGCTTGACTCCCCGTGACGTCATCCGAAACGTCGGGCCGAAGTTAAAAATCATTTTCAAATAAGTTTAACTAATATATCGCCTTTTAAACCGTTAAAGTGTTTTATTTAAACGTTTAAGATCTTTATTAAATTGTAAAACATTGATATTCTGTAAAAAATAGGTTTTAATTAAAACTAAGTAGGACATAAAGATATGTTTTATATCAACAAGGCGATCCAAACAAAGAATAAATAGTTTTTTAGTGTTTATTAAAAAAACAGACACACAATTTAAATACTCACAAATAAAAGAGACGCACAGTTATATAATTTTTAAATTTTACTAATCTTCATTACAACACATGGAGCAGCACGACTTCTGACTAGCCTCTTTAGGGCACAGAGTAAGTGACTGTGAGCTATCTGTAAATATATTGTCTTTCATAGTTTACTCAGTGGTACGTCGATACTAATTGTACAAATAGAAATTAAGAATCCATTATAGTCTGGTTAATTTAATAGAGATATATGTATAAAATTACCACACTTTCCTCTTATTGGACGCATCGTTATGTTTCATAGTCTACCTCGATAAATGGTCCAGCCAACACAAAAAAAAAGTTTAAGCAGTAATTTCGGAGATAAGCGATCAAACTAACAAACTCTTCAGCTTTATATATTAGTATAGATATAGATTTATTTTATACATGTTATACATTGTATAGATACATGTCTTCATACTCACGTTTTGGACTAGGAGATCGTACTGGACTTAAGCTATTTGATCTAAAAAAAAATGTAGTAGATAATTTTCAAGTCATTTATGTATTACAAGGGGTGAGCACTGGGGTCTACATTGGGGCTGCAGGGGTATATAAAATAAATATTATATATAATATAATCATCTGCAATTAAACCTACCTTATTGAATATCTTATCGGTTTAGTACGTCCACGTAGTAAATTTTAGTAGCCATGTCTAAAAGTATGACTGGTAAGAGATCTTAATCTTAATTTTAAAGAATCTATTCATATTTACTTTGATAGCTTCTCCGTTTTAATCAACTGTGGCATGCTTGGAATCGGTGTTCTGAAACATCAATTACTGTCTTTAAATGTAAATGATAAAATTGTAAGCTACAAGGTTTAAAAAATATTTCCAGACTTAAAAATCCGAAATATTTAGCCAACTTCTTTATTTCATTTAACTACGATCCGACGTCCAACTTCGAATGCTTTGGGGTAGTCACAGGGCGAATGAAGATGTAGGGTGTCCCTAATGTCAAAGTCAAAACTGCTACGCTAGCGCCATCTGTTTCGGACTCATTTCAGAAAGTTGCCGGGCTTTTACAGTACACTTACCGCATGTTGCTAAGCATCATAATGAACGAGGAACGTAATTAAGCCTGGATGCTACTTTTATACGTAATCTTTGTATTCTTTGAAATAAATGAAGTGGGCGTGTAAAAATTTGTAAATACCTATTTTGTTGTTTGTCAGAATCGATCTCTTGTTTAACCACAGGGGTAACACTGATTTCGGATGATCTAAAAGAAAAAATAGATTACGAAAATGTTTTGTTTATAATTGACTTTTTGTTGTTGCTAGAATGTAACAACTTACGCAATCGTGCATTTATTTTCCGCTGGAAACTCCATGTTTTTAAATTTCGACTTCGATTTGCAGCAGGGCTGAAAATTTTATAATTGAGATTACCAACTTCAACATGGATTTCAATGTAATGCATGCAGCTTACGCGAGTGAATTAATAAATAATGAATAATTCACTTTTCAACGACCGTATTATAAAGCTGTTTATGCTTTACAAATTTACATGATGGTATATAAAAAATGTTATAGCTGTTAAAAAAATACTTATAGCGTATCCATTTCCTGGCGTGACCACGGCTGCTGCAAAGCATCCGAAACGTCGGGCCGAGGAATTAAACAGTTTATAAATCTTAAGCTGTTAAAAGCAATTAAACATTTTAAGACGCTAATTAAATGATTTTTTTATGTTTATTAAAAGAGAGTCTATCTTTATTAAAAGGCGGAAAAAATAAATTTTGAAGTTGAAACATAACGAACATACTTTTGTGCAGCAAGATAAGCCAGCTAATCGAATAACGTTTTCTTCAGAACTCGGTGTACTATGCGCCAATGCTGTTGATATCTGTTTCTCGTCATTATGGGCTGCGAAACTCTCCTTTAATTCTCTTACGCGCGATTTGGCGCGACCTTCTCTGCTTACAGTGCTGCGTTGGTTGCTTCTGCTGCTAGTTCGTGGACCACCAACTGTAATATTAAAAATAGTACGTCAATATCCACATGGCTGTAGCGAAAACAGGTCTATGATGTTACCTTATACAATTACAGATCTTAGACATTTTATTTCTTCCACCAAGTTATGTCTATGCATGACAATCCTCTGTCATAAACAAACACATACATTACCTCGTGACCTTGTGAAAAGCATCTATGTGTCTTAGGTTCGAATCTCACACAAAACAAATATAGCTTGTTAAAAACATGGAGTATATTAGTTAACTTATTTAAGTTTTAAATACAGTTTTGCATGCGGGTTATTTAAATGTGTATTACGCGCGTAAACTGTAATAAATATATCATTATTACTTGTTTCGTTTACGAGGCACAAAAAAAATATTAGCAAGTAAAATAGTTGGATGAAAGCGTATAAAAAGAATTCAAATTCAAGTAATTAATTCCATCCCTAAGTTCATATACAAAATTATACATTATCAAAAAATACAGTATATAGTAAACAACCAAGAAGAAACAAACTAACAGACATATATACTTCACTGTTAAAGGACATTATCATCAACAGTTGCAGCATCAGTAATTGATGCATCTTTGCAATGACAGTTACATTACATGACATTCATTACTACATGATTTTAATAAACTTTAACTAGAAAATATAGTGTTTTATTAAATAAGTATTTTAATGTTAATTTCTAGTTTAAATGTTCATTTTATTGCATAATTATATTTCCCATGTTGACATTTTCTTCTTTACTCCAATTTACTTTTTTTTATTTCTACATGCAAAGGTTGCCTGGAAGAAATCGCCATAGTCGATATAGTCGCCTTTGTACAATAAATTTAATTATTAGAAAACGGATATTTTTAAATGTTTTTTTTCTATTAACACACTCAAGATATTATGTGTCATAAGGCAGTGAGTTTGTACCGAATTAGTGAACGATTTTCTACGAAAGGTTTGCTTCTACGTGACCTGACGGCATAATGTCCGGGATTCCCCGAGCAATAAATAAGGATCTGATAGTTTCTACCTATTCGGGGAACGTCAAGGTAATTTTCGGTATTGATTTATATACTCTATGGAGTCGTAAAGTTAACCAATTTTTGGTTAATATACTAAAATATGTAAACTATGATTGCTTTTTGTGAAATGTATTATAGAATAATAGAAGTTGAAAAGTGAAGTCCCGTTTACTAAAATAGGGAGACAAAAGCTGTTTAAAGTAAAACATTAAGTTCTTTATAATAAAAATTATTTGTTATTATATCCGGATTAAAAAATTATATATATATATATATAATTTTGAATCCAGTGAGGATCGTACATACGACGCGTTTATTATTTTGCCATTAAATAACAATTTCATATTAAGTTAGCTTAGAACTTACATGACATAGAATTGTCGAGAGCCCGTTCGGACAGGACCTTCAAAAGATATACTACGCTAGCCACGATGATGCCCAGAGCGACTATTATAGCAAGCAAAGATTTCTGAATAAACCCTTCAAAGCAGTCGACTAGATCATCCATATAATCTGCTATGATGTTGGAACACATTGGGAGTGCTTAGAATGTATAGTAAATGTACCTGAAATAAGGACTTAGATATCATTTGAAAAATTTAATACTTCTCACATGTTATTGCACATGTTGGCACTACAATTAAAAATATATTATAAATACACACACGGACACGGTAGCTAAATTTGTAAGAGCAACAGCACGAAACGGTTCAAATCTTCCCCGTGTCATTTTTTTTTTCAATTTATAATCGCAAATTGAAAATTTCGCAATTAATAATTTACTTAGATAACAATCAATCATTTGAGTACCGACTTAAATGAGGGTAGATGTTTTCCGCGGCTTTGCTCGAGTTTCCAAACGATAAAAATACCTTAAACATTATGTCGAAAACACGAAGAAAATGGTGGAGCCAGCCCTTTATAGTGTTATTCATATCTCTATAAGAATAATATCGCAGACTTTTAAAATGTTAAAGACAAGGGGTACTTACCAGGCTATTCTTTTAACGTTTTTAAAATATTGGGAACAATATTTTTTATATACAAACACACGGCGCATAGTCTACGTTCCCAGTATTTTGGCTAAAATTTCGTTTCATATGAGACTTGCAGTCTCATATTATGTCGATATGAAAAACACTAAGCCATAACAAAGGTTACAGCGAAAAATTCTATAAAAATCTACTCTTTCTGCATTTGACATTAATTGTTTGATAACCGACGTTAATTTGCAACGTCATGGTGATATCCACAGAGTAATTAACATACGGGTTGTAATTAAAAGTAAAATAGAAAGAGAAAATGAAAATGGAAATCGATATTGTTAAACATCGATTTCATATTAAGATATTTTAGAGAGACTCAAGACAAAATGGACGCTTTCACAAACACCTGGAGTATACATATAGTGACTGTGAACGCTTTAACGGTTTTAAACTGTTAAAGTGTTTAATTTGAAAGGCGTATACAAATAAGCAAAGTGAAGTCCCGGGTTTGAACCTCGGAGAAACATTATTGTTTATAACAGTCTAATCAAATACTATCCCGTATATATAATTTATCAGTGAAACACAGAAATTTGCCCACATAGGGGAAACGGCTGTTCACTACACTTATATGTGTGTGTAATCAGCATATCATTGTTTTTCGGTCTGTTCGGCCGACGTGAGCGGGAAGAGGTTCTCGACGTTACGCCGTCTTACGACGTTAAAGTGTTGTTAGCTCCTCGATTGCTCGAAGAATTACCTCTTCTCGCTCACGTCGGCCGAACAACTCGAAAACAATGATAAGCTGAACGACGGATGTGAAAGCCTTACACAATTTTTTGTATGTGTGTTAACTGTGTAATGAAAAAATATTAGCTTTCTCCTTGCTATTGGAAATGATTACACGTCAAAGTACTTCTAAAATCTTCTATAATAATAATCTTTTTTAAAGTCCTCTGAGGATAAAGCTTAAGAATAATGTAGTCACAATCTGGACCACAGTCTATTTTGCGCGTAATCCATAATAAACTCACAATATTTGAGGGAGAGAGACCCTTCATAAGCCGTGATGGATTGGGACCTTTGATTTATGCTACCTCTAATATTATGGAGCCCGGCTCATATTTTAATAATATTCTTTTATCATTAGGCTTCTTTTGCTTTTATTATTAAGTATGCTTGCATTTCATCTTGACCGACTCTGCATTCATTTTGGAAATAACCAAGCAAACCAAATCGACAAAAAAAATATGTAAATCTTTTATTAATAATATACATAAATCATAAAAAAGCTGTTGTCATGTTATTTTTCCATGTAGATCAAGATAGGGGTCAACCAACGGTTGCATATTTCTAAGTATGATTATCAATTACTTTGGAGGATTGTGACTTGTATCGTTTCTGGAGTTCACTGGTGGGAGGTAAAATACTTCAGGCATATAACATCTACACAAGAAGCGGTGTCAACTTATTTTGGCATTGGGTACTTTATTTACGAATATACGTAATTTTTACCTTTATTAACAATCTAAATTTATAAATATCTTAAAGCTGTGTCTGTTGAATAAATGCTGAAATAATATTTGGAAGATGGATGGGAGACATATGTATTTCCTCACACTTTGAACAATTGTGAAACAGTATACCTAATATTCTGGTTAATCTTATTAAGCCGAAAAATGTAATCTAATTTTTTTCAGTTTACTAAACATTTCTTATCTATATTAATTCTATAAAGCTGAAGAGTTTGTTTGTTTGTATATTATCGCAAATCATAGGAACTAGTTCGAATAAAAAAAATCATTTGCTTTGTTGGAATTTGCGTTAGATTAGGCTACAAAACATCTGGCTGTGACCTTTATGAACTAATACACAGTGGAAAAAACGGCGAAAAATATTTTTCTTTTAGGACTTCCGTTGCTGCGAAAATGATTCAAGAAACTAATAAAAATAAGTTAAAAAGAATGATTCTTAATGATCTAAAAAAACCCGCCACAGTATTATTTTAGTTAAGATTAACTTGCAAAAACAACAGGACGCGGACGAAGTTGTCGGTAATGTTCGATAATCCCAAGGCAAGATCATAAATACTAAAGCGTATCTATATATAGATATATATACATTAAAAAAATAACAATTACTAAAAAATATGAATCAATTTGATTAAATATGACTTAGTCATTAGATTAAGAATTCTTATAACAATATTTCCATTTGATTACCAATTGTAATTATCTAACCTAACCTATTTATCGATTTACGTTTTATCTTCCAACTTTAATACTCACAGTCTGCGTTATCTCTGGTCTTGATAAGAATCATTGGACAGGAAATCATTATCTACTACAAACGTTCATGGGTGACTCTGCATCAAAGGTTTTATAAAAAATCTATTTAGGTCTTACACCGGTTTACGCCAGGATAATAAATATTAAATTCACACCTAATTTATCCAGAACATTTTGGATAATTCTTTTAAATGTCTTTCGTAATACTTCACATAATAACTAATTGTCCTTTAACATCTTGAAGGAGGATCCCACCATTCTCTAAAGTTTTCATACACAGACTTCGTTTTCACTAATTTTTCATCGTATAGAATAGAACAGAATCTACAATAGTCATCTGTTTCTCTGCTACTGCCCCTGGTGTGATATGAATAATGATTTGTCCATTTGAAATGCTGTTCGTATTGATCGGGATTATCGATGAGCTCTTTTATTATTCTGGCTAAGTTTTCCTCGCCCAATTCCCTTGCATTTAGATAGGCACTATCCGGTATAAACCTGTATTTAAAATAGAAATTGTTATAGAGAATTATGTTCGTAGATAAGTTCTATAAATCTCAGGGAGTCACAGAAAATTAATATAGTTTAATTGATGATATTTTTTTAAGAAGTATTTTTATCAATTTTTAATATTTCATAAAGTAATTTAAACAAATGGAATATACTTATAACCACATCTGATGAAACGTCAAATCTTTCAACTACTTAATTGATATTTCAAAAAAAGAGCTTTTTAAAAGTTTGTTATTTATTAATCTACCTTGAATAATTTGCTCCTCCATAAACTATAGGAACTGTTAGATATATTAATGGCCATAACGCTTTCTCAGTGACATAATCTTCACAAAACGAATTCTCGAATGCTAAATAAAAATAGTAATCTCTTTCGAGCATTTCATTACACTCCTCTTCTTTACCACGATCGCATTTTAATGGACCACAGGCTCCATAAATGTCTATGCTTAAACCGTACTTTGTTAATTCAGCCGCTAATCTATTTGCGAAGTCTTTTCTCCTACTTCGCGATGAACAGTTTGAGACGAACCACGCCACTGCCTTAGTTTTCTTTCTCAGTTTTTCCTTTACTTCATCTGACACAGGTTTCATTTCATCAAAATCTAACCAATTCATGTTCAAGTTAGGCCCGATAACTTTTTTATTTTCATCTCTTATCGCCATATAACCCCATTTGGCTTCGGAAGTTAATCTGTATGTCCAGGTCCAATTGAAAAAGTTGTTAAACCTATCTGAGCAGACAGGATAATTATCCGCTGATTCTATAGTTGCGAAAACAAATTTCTGATGAGGCGACCTCTTTTGTGGTAAGCTTTGTTCGGACATTCTAACAACTTCCGGCCCATTGAAAGCTATGACATCGAATTTAGTATAGTCTCCCAGTAGAGATCTGTCATTTGTCACGATGCAATTTGTGTACTCGCAGTTTCTGCTTGTGAATCCTTCTTTCCCTTGTCCCATGTAAGCAAAAGGCACAGCTGATTTTGACGTCCACTGTAAAATGTACTTTGGTCTATCTTCGTCACTCGGTCTCTCATCTTCTATTACGCTATTTTGTTCAATTATCTTATCCTCAATGATTTTAACCTCCGCCACATTTTCTAAACGCTTTTGATTCACTTGTATTCTGTCATTGTACACGCCATAAACAATAGTTTTTAAGTCTTTTAGAGAAAAATAAAAATATCCCGCTGTGGTTATAACAACACCGATCATCAATATTTTAATGAAATTATTCTTACGTCGCATTTTAAATAAATATATCGCGCGCGATATCAAACATGGGACTTCAACGTTTTACAATTGTGAAACTTGTGTGAAAACAAAATAGGGCATGTTGGAAGTTTTATCGATTTGTTGTATAAAGATAATAGATAAGAACTTATTAGTGTGTCAGTCGCTGATATACAATTTCTGAGAGAGGTTGTGTTTCCGCTCGCACATCGCGTAAAAAACAGCTTAGACACGACGATGGCGATGCCGGATGCCCGAGTCGAATTGTTTTTCCGATTTTTAAATTATATAGTGCCATCATATGTAATAATAACATGTGAATAATATTAATGTTTTCAAACATCTTAGAGACGTTAAAAACATTGTGACTGAATCGCTTATTTTGTTCAAACGTTAAAAAGGTCCCAATTTTTGTCGTAAACTGTGCGACGCTTAAGCTTATGAATGATAGCTACAATCTGATTACTTAGAATCGATACGAAAGTATATTATTCAATAACCAAATGCAGATAATGCTGATAAGCGGCATCTTTTTTCTATACTTGTTACTATATCACCCATATATACTCTAACATCTCAACTTATTTCACTAAAGCATAATACTGTAGAAAATATTGTTTCACAATTTTTTGGCTAGCCTACATTTTGTTTGCCTCCTAATCTTCGTAGGATTTGTTTATACTTCGAAAGGAAAATCTCGTTATTCCGTGAGCTTTTCATGTTTGTTGAGGGTTATTCATGTATTTATTTGTACATAAAATTTCAAATATATGTCTCAAATCGCCCTTTACTTATATTTGAGCTTTGGACAGAGAGACACGGCTTTTGAAGTCAACGTTTGGTTGCACAAAACGTAATGTATTTTCATATTAAATAACAAAGGTTAATATTCTGTGTGAAGGTAAATTACTAAATTATGGACGTCGACTGGCAACAGATAAACTGTGGTAAGCGTAGACCTTTCTAGTTTAATCTGTTTGATGTCACTGATAATCTTTAATGCGAATTAAAAGGGTTACTGGCATGGACAATTAAATTAATAAAAAATAGATTTAAAAAAATACGTATTTAAAGAATACATATTTATGTAATCATTTATTCAGTAGTAGTAGTAATCAAAAAGTTTTCATTTTTTTATTAATATAGAAGGGCCAGAAAAGCACTGGCTTCACTAAATTGGTGATACTCCAGCCATATAACATCTAAGCAAAACTGCGCTGTCGACCGCTGTGTGTTGTGTATTTTGTCTTTGGACATTATTTTTATTTCCTTCTGATAAACATCATCAATAACCGTTAATATTGATTAATATAATTGTGTCATTTCATCAATCAAACTATTTATTACGTTTTCCCAGGATTCGAACAAACAACAATGTTAGCAAAGGAGCCCCGAAGGTAGTGAATGTAACATACAGACAAGTGAAATATTAGAATCAAAACTATCTATTTTATTACTGCATTACGGTACATAATATTGTAATGTATCAAAGATCATTATCATTAAGTATATAAAAAAACTTATATTCGAGTATGTATGTTTACAGCAATCGCGTACAAATCAATATGAAATAAGGTAATGTACTTAAAAATTTACGACACTCGTAGCTTGCCTTTTGTTCTGTTACATTCCGATAGATTGTTGTACAATTTAAGAATGCAAGACAAATGAGTTTTCCTTGCAAGCATCTGGCATTTTCACGACATCTATTTTTTAATGTTCGTAGTGACAAATTTTGAAAATGAAATTGTTACATAAAGAACATTATTTTTAGATGTAAAGTTTATTATTTAGTGAGGTTAAAAATACAGAATTAAGACAACACACAAAATGTAACAAATTGTACTAAAAAAGTTCTTATTATCAACATCTTAAAGGGGGATCCCACCACTTTCTAAAATCTTTATACACTGTTTCCTTCTTCACCAACTCCTCGTTGAAAAGTATAGAACAGAACCCACAATAATCATCAGTTTCTATGCTTTCAGCTCGAGTGTGATAGGAATAATGATTTGTCCATTTGAAATATTCTATATAATCTTCTTGATTCTCAATCAAATCGTTAATTATTTTTGCAAGTTTTTTCACTCCTAACTCTCTTGCGTTTAAATAGGAACCATTTGGCATGAACCTGCAGCGAGTAATAGAACAATAATAAAAATACAGTTTGTTTAGCGCTTGAGTGTATTAAAAACATTTTCAATTTCAGGTAAATTGAAAATGTTTGAAATGTAATATTATTCATATACTGAAAATAATATGATGGCGAAGCCAAAAGGAAAAGTAATAATTTTGTTAGTGTCTGTATTCATGTAGTATAATTTAATTCTAATGAACATGGTCTCAAAGAATACGTAATAATAACGAGAATAACGTGAACAGAAATATGATTTTGTATCATTAAATAGTGCGGATAAATGTGATTAAGATTCTAATCATTCTGTCTTTGGTATGAAAAGAAGGGCTTTGGTTGATACACTACAATAGTGATTGTAAATTGTATTGTTTATATAAAATACATCGACATATCTACAATAATCTATAATTTGTCGTCTCCAGGTTATGATAATTTTTTAAAGTGGATTACCTTGTGTAGTTGGCTCCTCCAAACACAATTGGAACTGTAAGATGCTTCAATGCATGGAGCACTTTCTCCGTAACATAATCTTCAGCCAACGAGTTTTCAAACGACAAATAAAAGTAATAATCACTTTTAAGCATTTCATCACAATGCTCTTCCTTGTCTCGGGGGCATTCCAAATTTCCACAATGTCCGAAAACATCTATCGTTAAATCGTATTTCGTTAGTTCCATCGCCAAGTCTAACGCGAACTCATTTCTCCTACTCTTAGACAAGCAGTTCGACACAAACCACGCTGCTGCCTTTGTTTTTTTCAATAAAACCTCTTTGACTTCTTGGCTCACCGGCTTCATTTTGGCATCATCCAGCCACTGCATGTTAATGTTCGGTCCAACAATCTGCTTCTTTTCATCTCTTACAATCATGTAACCCCATCTAGCATCGGAACTCAATTTATATGTCCAGGTCCAATTGAAAAAGTTGTCCAGCCGATCTGAACAAATCGGATAGTTATCAGCGGATTCTATGGATCCAAAAACAAACTTTTGATGAAGTGATCTTCTTTGTGGTAAACTGTTATTGTCTAACGTCACTACTTCTGGGCCATTAAAAACAATCACATCAAACTTAGTGTAGTCCCCCAACAGTGATCTGTTATTTGTGACAATACAATTCGTATATTTACAGCCCCTGCTTATGAAGCCATCCTTTCCTTGTCCCATATACACGAAAGGCACAGTGTGCTGCAGGGTCCACTGTAAGATATATTTCGTGGTTTGCACATGTTCCTTCACATTATTTACTTCTGGCAGGGGAGTTAAAAGATTTGTTTCTTTTTTTCCAAGCATGGTCCGGTTTGTCTTAGCGAAATACAAATATCCAACCGCAGTCAAGAAAACGCTGTATATTAAAATTTTTATGAGGCAATTTCTATGTCGCATTTTGTGATTGCATTAGTTGATATTTCAAACGCGTGCGCGCAGTTTTATGCTTGCATTTTGAATGATGCAAGTCACTATAAACACAACAATTCTTCTGCTTGGTTATTTGCATTTCCAGAGTTTATTACCTCTAGACTGTTTAAGGTACATTAAGTAAATTAAAAATCTATTTCACGTTTTATATTTCTACAAATAGGTACATAACATGTGAAAATAAAAAAAGTTTAAAGATATTCAATTGATTAGTAATAACATATGTATTTCACAGGCTTGCTGGTCGATAATAATAATAAGTCGAAATAAATTTATCCTTAGACACAAATTTCGTGACTCTCAGGTCTCTAGAATTCCGACGCGACCCAAAATAAGTCTATTCTTCCTTCTTCCTTCCGTCAAGAACCCCACCTTCATCCTCATTTGTTTGTAAAAGGGATTAAATGTTGAACAGTAATGCAGCCTTACCTAAAATATACGTCCATTGTAAAACGTAGGGAGTGATCGAAATGTTATTTAGTAAAAGATCGATTATTAATAAATTGCTGAACGTATTCTATAAATTGAGGCCGTTAGAGCGCAGAGTAGCCTAACTGCAATTTTATGACTTGAGTTATTTATATTTTTATAATCTAAAAATGTAAATAACTCAACTACAAGACCCAAAAATTGCTAATATAATTCTTACACAAACAATAATACAAATTAATTTTCGCCTAACTTGATTGCGCTTTTTTATTTTCCTCCATATTGAAAATCATGTTTATTAGGCCACTCTGCCTCTAGCATCCTCAATTATTAATTAGAAGACATATTGTAAGTAGCTACAAAAGTTCGTGATATTACTGTTGGTTATAAAGCAGTGCTTTAACATCGGATTTTTATAATGGTGATACAAGTTTAATACTCTCAGGCGTGAAAACTTAAGTGCTTGCTCAAGAATGCTTAAAAAAAAGGCAGAATATTATGTGAGTTGGTGGAGGTGGGCGTGTTTATAACGCACACGGCGACTTGCCGATCAATATTCGGGTATCTTATTGTTACATCGCGTTCAAGCTCTTTTTAACCGACCCTGGCGAAGGAGGGGTAATGATTTGTCAGTATTGTTTGTTTGTTCTACTATACACAATTTAGTTATTAAATAAAAACAAACATGACGAAATACAAACTATAAAAATGTAACCCGATTAAAAACATAACTGAGATTATTATCTCTCTTAAAACAAGAAATATCTAATAAGCAAGTTAAATAACTTGCTTCAACCTAACAATCCCAATGCTTTGCGGGAACTGTGGCCACGAGCACGGGAAGTAAACTAATGCATTTAGTGTTTTAAACCGTTTATGTGTTTTATTTATATGTATACTATTCGCATAAACTACGTAATCCTTCGCGCGTGGTGGCTATATATGTTAAAAATTAATCAAAAGAAAATTAGAACACGGGCAGGACTTGAACCAGCAACGGTAGCGTTCTGTTTTGCTGCTATAAAAAATTAAGCTATTGGTACGAACAGCAGCAATATTTGATTCATTAACTTAATATATATAATGCCATCATGTGTGAAGGAAATTAAAGGTTTTTCAAACGCTAAAAATATTTAGATTTTCAATTTCGATGGAACGGGTTCTTCGTTTGAATAAATCAATTATTGATGCTTGATGACTCTGTGTGGGTGGGGCTTTATGTTTTATAATTAACACGGCTCCTCTCAGCGCAATAGAGGCGACGGGGGTCCGTTTTGACCTTTACCTTGAACTGTTAAGAGCGGCACGGACTGAAAAATCCAGGTAAGTTAAAATTTACACATTGACGGCTTTGTCTTTCACTTAGTGCGAACAAAGAGAGTTTTGGAGAGTAGACACTCGACCTTTTTATTTAAACGAGTATCTTATTATGCTATCTTTGAATATACAAGTTTTTAACAGTGGTTCTGCAGGCTTGGTGAGTCTTTTATAATAGAAGATGACAGATACATAGACAGAGCATAGGGTAGGTGAAACTCTCCAGCCATAAACAATACGCGCAATCTATTATTGGCTTTGGATACTCGGTATCAACAGCTGAAACTGAAACGCGTTTATACTTGACGCCCGTTTCATCTGTAATAGTGGTGTGAGAACGGAATGGAATACAAATATTCCCACTGATTTAATATCAAGACAACAAAGTCCGGCGAGTTCCAGAAAACGTTATTAATTGATTGGATACATATTGGACCCGGTTGCAATAGAACCCACGACCCGTTGATAATTCGCCATTTACTGCTATTTTAGCACTAAAAAGGGGCATTCTATTTAAATAAAACACTTTAACGTGGTCGCGGGGAGAATCCCCGTGCTGCAAAGCATTCGAAACGTCGGGCCAAAGTTAAAAATCATTTCCAAATAAGTTTAACTAATATATCGCGTTTTAAACCGTTACAGTGTTTTGTTTAAATGTGTTCTACTCGCGTAAACTATAGACAGGGGCATTCCATTTTTATTTTGCATTAGTTTTTTGATAATCTGATATTATTATTTTTTATTAACTAAAATTAGACCTAAATTTTACGTCCACTGGTATTTGATTAGATTTTTACGTAGGCAGTTTTCTCTCGTAAAGCCCGCTTGTATCATGTCATTTTATTTGGGAAACGTTATTAGGTAAAAAGCTTCACATGAAATATGAGCAAATAAAATGACGTTTATAATGGATGGAATATTGATTAAGCCTTAACATGTCTTTTTGAGTTCCTTTGATGTTACGCTTTACTTACTTAAAAGGGAGTCTATTTCAGTATTTTCTGCTAGAAAAAGGATAACACAGACTATATCTAAATAATAATAAAAAACTACTTGTAAATGTTAAACTACTTTACCAATTGATTAATTACTTACTTTTTTAACCGCTTTGAATTATGTATCCCCGGGATATATATTGTATCAAAAATCGTTTCGGTCTGGCAGGGCATAGAGGTCTCATCGACTATTGTTACAAAATACCAGTGAAACAGAAACAAAAATGTATCTGTCCCACGCCCAGCACAGGATAAACGCGCTTATATACACGAATCCATACATACAAACATTCTTACTTTAAATTTCAACAATCGATTCGATAAACAGTATATTAAACGTATTTACTACAAAAATGATAACTAAATACTGCTCTGCAACATTTCATCAGATTAGAAGAATGTTTTAGATCTTAGATCAATCCTATAAATGAAAACTTTTAACGGTTTAAAAACTGACTAATTGTAATTTATTTTAAGTTTAGGATTTGCAGGAGTCGTGGTCACTGTTCTTACAAACAATAATATTAAAACAACACTACTTATATACACATATAATGTCACATTGTTAACTGTTTAAAACGAAATATATATTTGACGCAATTTTTTAGGTGCTTTTGAGGAGCCAACGCTACAATCTAATATTGCGTTGTAACACTAGGAATAGGCAGAATTTGGACTTAATACAATTCTGTGCCTAAATATCAAATCCTCATTCAAATAGACACTTTTTTCTGAGGTAGAGAAAGCAAGAATCCAAAGCTTATCTTGCCCAAATAAGGTACTCATATATGTAGTATAATGTCGTCAATGAATAATATATCCTTAATACGAGTCCAGGAGAACGTCCTTGACCCACCTGTTGCTTCGGCCGGGATAGCCGAAGATTTATTATTTCGTTTCTGACATTCTTCGTCATTTTTGTACGCCATTTTGTGTATTAGGTAAGTAATTGGATTACGTATGATACTAATGAAATGTGGACTGTAATCCGGTTTTATTAGAAATAAATTGATATGTCAGTGTAAAGGATAAGGACATTATTTGCGTACACATATTTTAATTAATTGAGTTGACTTAGCTCAATTGAAAGAAGTACTACATGTGGTCGTTGGTTCGGCATTCGCCCGAGTTATGTAATTTAAAATATGTCAATAAATATGTCAATTTATTGTATGTATAGTTGTATTTAAAACATTGAACGTATATCTAGTTACAAGTATTGATGTTTTTTTTTTTTTTATTTCATACACTTTTTTGATTTTTAAATGAACATTTCCTAAAACCCATTATCAAAGAACCTTGAGTGGTGCACATTTAAATAAAACACTAATGGTTTGAAACGAAAAATATATAACGTAGTTAACTTAATTTCAAATATTGCGTGACGTCACCGTTCAGATTTGCAGCTGCCATGTTCTCGCCTCAGTACAGACTCAATACTTAACAACACCTAAAGATACTTTTAACGGTTTAAAACTCATATTACGTTAGCTAAATTTTGCTTTACAACAGCCGTGGGCACAGGTTGACGACATCGGGTCGTGGTTAATAGAAATTAAAAATAAGTTAACTAATAATTTTCGCGTTTTATTTAAATTGTTCATCATCTTTAATTGCCCTAATTTTAGACCACAATTTTCGCAATATTAATACACTCCGATCGGTATCAATGATGAATAGTTGAACAACGCGAGGGTTTTGTTCTCAAATCCGTAAAATCTCTTAATGACCGCTATTTATCGGTATAATTAGACCAATGAGGACGCCATTCGGATCGTAAAAGCATAATTGCCCGTATGAAAACGTTTGAGTACGCATTTAATTAATTGGCTTTTGCGAAACCGTTCGACGTTTTATTAGCTAGTCTATGATTTATAAAGATTTCTAACTAGATGCGCTAAACAAAAACAGAGTTGAAAACACTCTACTACCTATTCTACGCGACTACCTCCGCGTAGAATAGTAATTATTTTATACTAGCTGTGCCCGCGACTTCGTACGCCTGATTTAGTGACTTGGGGGGGAATTTTTAATTATTTAGGCTGTTTTTTAATTAATGTAAGGGCGCATTTAAGGGAGCCAATCTATGTTGTAAGTGCGACTTTGCCGCAACACTCTCACCTCACTTCACTC